GAGTGTGTATTAGGGAAGGTTAGTTACCGGAGCTGGAGAGTGAGTTATTCAGGCGAACTCTCAACAGCATGTGTGTGCACGGAGCCCTTAACAGACTTGACCTCCACTTTCACTTCCTCTTTCTGATTTGTGGAAAGATGCTGAGTTTCCCAAACGTCTCATTCTGTTTTTTCTCAGAGAAAGAGAGAAGAAGAAGAAGGTAAGACATTCTTTCTTAAACTGATGAAGTGAATCATTGTGAACTCATGAATGTAATATTTGATGTAATTTTTCTCAGGAAGACATAGTTGCAATACATCAATGTAAATATGATGTAATTTGCATGGTGAACTCTTTCCTCTGTACTGTACACAAATCAGTGTTACAGCTGGTCCAAGGTATTTATAGTGATTTCCTTTGTCATATTTTCATATTCTAGCACTAAATGTCTTCATATACAAGAGCTATAACCACTAAAACATTTCAGTCTTCATTTCTGTCTTGTTTCCTACAGTCATGGCTACCATCCACCAGCAGACCACCGAGGTGGTGACAGTCACCAGGGCTTTTCAAAACTCTAGCCAATGGAGCACCGACCTCTGTGACTGCTGCTCTGATATGGACACCTGTAAGTGAACCCAGCAAACTCTGCAAACAGCAGGGATTTCAGCATGAGTGATTTCCTCAGCTTTGTTTCAGACTTTGTTTGCAGTAAGGTAGCAGAGAGTCTGATGTCAGTAAAAAATCAAGAAGATAAAATATCTGAGACTGTCTCATAACAATAACCATTTAGTAGCATTATGGAGTCAGAGTTCTCTAAGCGAACTGGGAAACTAGTCTCTGAACACTTTAATGTTTAGTTTAACCTTCTGAAATTTAATGAACGCCATAACATGACTGACCTAACATGTAATGACATTATCAACAGTGTGGAGGCATAAATGCTGTGGTGAAGGTGTTTCTGCAGGTAGAAGCAAATATCTTTTCATTGGTTGAGTAAGAAAGGCTGCGAGGATGAGGAGCCAAACACTGGACCTACAGGCAGGTTATTAAAAGGACTATTTTAATTTTAGCTGACTGGAAACTGGAACAAACTCATGCCATCCACCAAAAAAAGTTAAAAAAATGGTGGCTGAAAACTTCAAATGAACCACTCAATGAGGTGACCAAACAGAACACATGCAGATCATGTGATGTGAAGAGGAAGCACGTGCACAGGGAACACACAAATTGAAAGCAAGAATGAGAAGTGTTTAAATACCCAGAGAACTAATTGAAACCTCACATGAAGGTAACATTCTCAGGGTTTGGCATTTCCTCTCTTTCTTCATGTCTTTTGGTTTCTACCAAAGCTGCCAAAAAACATGACAAGGTTGAACTAAAGCAGCAAAGTTGTCATGATCCTGGGTCGGTGACTCAGTGTTTTGTGTTTTGAATTATTTATAGTCTTTGCGTCATTATTGCCATGACAAAAGTATGTGTTTTAGTAAACACTGCTATTTGACACATTAAATATAATTTCATACAATTTCATAATTTATTTAGAGAAGCTCACCTGTAATGAAAGTGGTAGTTTTGTTGTGCATGTATGCCTGATATCATTGGCCTGCTCCCAGATCTGGACCAGGGCATCTCTGAGCTCCTGGATAGTCTGAGGTGCAACCTGGCACTGTCAGATGGACCGAAACATAATGTCCCAAAGGTACTTCACAGGATTAGGTCAGGTATGAACTTCAACATCCTGCATACTTTCGGTACGAGGCCAAGCATTGTCGTGGACCAAATGCACCAGCGTAAGGTCTAACAGTGAGTCCATGGTTTCATCCTAATGACAGTCAGGGTGTCGGGTCTGTGTGTCCCTCCATGGATATCCCTCCCCAGGCCATCACTGACCGACCAGCAAACCACTCATGCTGAAAGATGTTACACCAGCATAACGTTCTCCATGGCTTCACCAGATCCTTTCACATCTGTCACATAAGCTCACAGTGAACCTGCCCTCAGGGCACCCTCATGAAGTCTGTTTCTGATTGTTCAGTCAGAGACTTTTACACTAGCTGGTGGTCATTTATAGCTTTGGCAATGCTCATCCTGTTCCTCCCTTCATAAAGGAACAGATACGTGTCCTTCTGATGGATAAGCGGCCTTCTGTGGGGGTTGTCTCATTGTTGTTTCTCTTGTGCAGCTATTCTTAATTTCATTAACATCAAAGTACCTGAAACTGATAACCAACCGCCTCTGCTGCTTAACTGACCACATCAATATCCAGGCGATTTAACTGAGTGGATGTGATAATCTGACTGAAAAGTGCTCCTTACATTTTTTGTTGTGCAGTTTAAATCTGTATATTTTTTTATCTGAAGGTTGCTGCGGCTTTTGGTGCTTCCCCTGCATGCAGTGCATGACAGTTAGTAAACATGGATGGTGCTGCTGCGCACCACTCCTGGATATTTGCGGCGTGGTGTCCTGCTTACTCCGCCAGTCCATCAGAGAGCAACACAACATCGAAGTAAGGCTGGGTTAGGGATGGAGGGGCTATGTTACAGACACGATTTAAAAGATGGAAGTGGTCACTAGAGGAAGTGAAGTTTTGAGTCTTCCACATTGGCTTCACTTTTAAACCTTGGCGGTTGTTGCTTGATTTTCTTTCTAGTCACGTTGGTTTGGGTCCAGAATAATGAAAAATCTGTGTGTCTTAATTGACTGGATGCCAGCGCTGTTGCTTATTTTGTTCTTCTCCACCCTGCAGGGTTCTGGCTGTGAGGACTGGTGCACAGTACTTTTCTGTTACCCCTGTGCCTGGTGCCAGATGCATCGTGAGCAGAAGATCAGGGAGAACCAGCCCGCCAGCGCAACTGTGATCACCACACAGGTCATTCGTGGATATGGTACAACCAGTTTGGCTGTTGGCTAAGGGCTTATGTCACCGCTGAAGCCATATTTTTTTTACTTTTGCTGACTTATTAATGTGCTGAATGGTATATGAGGAAAGGTTTGTGTCTGGCCATAAAAATACTTTTTCACACAATATTGTGGCTGTTATTGTAATAGTTTTCTTCTACAGAGCTGAGTTTAACCAGTGTTCAAATAAAAACTATTCAAATTCACTATTGTGATATGACAGTGATAAGGACATCGTAAGTAAGACCTTCCATACTTCTCTTTATATACTCATAGTAAATGTACTGTACAGTGGGTGATGGTCATTATCCATTGCTTGTTTTGATGCACTTCCCAATCACACAACACTTTAGAGCAGCGGTCTCCAACCTTTTTTGCGCCACGGACCGGTTTATGCCCGACAATATTTTCACGGACCGGCCTTTAAGGTGTCGGGGATAAATACAACAAAATAAAACTAGTACCGGTACTGAAAAAAGAAGATTTATTCATAACACACGTGAAAAGACCCAGGAAAACCGAGTAAACGATAAAAACGATAACAAAATAACGCTGAAAACCCTGAAAACCATACATTTCACACCTGAGCCTCAACTCTCGCGGCCCGGTACCAAACGATTCACGGACCGGTACCGGTCCGAGGCCCGGGGGTTGGGGACCGCTGTTTTAGAGTATTGGATGAAACTGCTTTGTGCTTATTCTTTGACAGCTATTACATCTATCTTTGTGTTCCTGCCATCATCAGTATAAACAAGGTGACTTCCATCCACAAACTCATGATTGTAGTTAGTTTCAGCACTTCACTGTAACGTGATTCCTTCTACTTTCTTTTTCTCATTATTGGTCCTGAATATAAAGTAATGAGGGCTGGGTCAAGACATCTGCACACTACTGTATCTGTTTTATTTGAAAGTTGAAATTAATAAACTGATTAAATGATTCAAAGTGCTTGAAGTGCTTTTACCTCCGGTTTCTTTAAACCAGCTTTCTGAGTGGCTGTCAATCGCAAACAGAACGTGAAGCTTTAAATATTTTCTACATTTGGCAAAATAATTATTAAATGAAACTGAAATGTATTAAGTGATATAATTAAACAGTTTGTTTGTAGGGCTATCATTTAGTGTCTGACAGGACTTTAACTGTTAACGGTGAGAAGATTTGGTCACATGTAAATGCCTTCAGGTTACAGCTAAATCAGTCACGATTCAGTGATTATATCATGAATGGAGCTTTTCTCTATGACAAATCTACCTTTACATCATTTGTTTGTCAGCTATATCACATAAAAAGTACAAAGTCAAATTACTGAGAAAGTGGAACATAAGAAATGTTTTACTTCTTTTAGAAATGTGAAACTATAGGATCTGGCAGAGAATGAACCGTCCACGTTTCTCTCTAGTACTGTCGTATGCAAAACTAGTGTGGCACCAGGGGTGGTAAGAGATTATTTTAGGGTGGTCCATGCCACCCGTGCAGATCCGCCCCTGTCTGCATTACACATGTTGGTTAGCAAGAGGAAATTCCTCTTTTATGAAACTAAATCACGGAAGGCTAATGGCCGATCTTAGAGAAGTAAAAGCAGACCAGCGTGCGCCTGACTCTGGTCTCCCCTCGGTTTACCATTAAAGACCAGAGGTTTACCGAAAAAAAACCCCACAAATGAAAACAGTCCAGTAGCAACATGACAAAACTTGTTCCAGGCAGACCTGTGCATATGAACTGTCCTCTGACGCAGTCACCTCCAGAAACTAGTTACTGGCCACTCAGCTTGCTGTTAACAGGACACAGACGCCTTTAAACACAAGGTGGCAGTATTGTACAGCATTAACGCAAACAGGTGAGGAGCCTCATGACAGTGCGGTCTTTAAAGGAACTTTGCCTACTATAAGAAACCATTAAAATGCATATAAGCTTCTCACCAAAATGCACATGTAATTGTATTTAATAAGGTCTATACTGTAAACTGTATGTATGTTTCAATGAGGTCATTTCACTGAAAGTTCTCAGTGAAGAAACATCACTTTCTCACCCTTATGAGTATTTTTAAATGTGTGACGCCAACTCCTTCAAACCAACACCTTAATAAAATAAATGCGTGCATTAGAATTCACATACAGTCTATTCCACAGTGATTTATAGGTACCTGATATGTTAATAGCAAAACTCAAGTGTTTGAGTCTCATTATCGCCATTAGAACAAAAAAAGAGAAAAACAGCGGTGCGACCAGGATGCAGGTCTAGTTGGTGTTTCAAAATGCAGACAGACAGAGTGTCTCGCTGCAGTAGACAGTGGCTTTGATTGTGCTCTTGTTGCATTTGGGTTTAAAATTGTAGTAGAGCCACAGATTACCTGTAAAAAAAAATTTAAGATGCTACTTTAAGGCATTCATTTTCCAAATGTAATAAATAAATGTATAGATACACAGTCTATATGTTGTTGGTTATTCTGGCAGTGCAGTCTGTAAATAATATTTTTAAAGCAGGTATCTACTGCTGTTGATATCTTTTTCTTTCTTCTTCTTCTTCTTCTTTTTTTTTTTTAGCAAGGAACCAACAACAGCAGAACACAATCGGGATTGAGCAACAGACAATGTTGCACCATTTGGCGCTGCAGTCTTGGAGCTGTGCACACGCTCAGTGCCATGAATGCAGACATGATTCAGTAACTGAGGATGCACATGGGAGTAAAGGGCTCTTCACGACATACATCAGTTTTGGAAGCTATCGGGAACAAGAACAAAAGAAAATAGTGTCACTGAATCGGCTTAAAGAAACAAGCATGCTAAAAATTCAATTTAAAAAACCCTGAAGACTTTATGCATGTGTCAAAATAGTAAGCAAATGAAAGTGTATTATGTGAAAGTTTTAAATAGATTGTAACAAACTGACCTGTTTGTGTGTCTGACCGGACACATTTGAAGATACAGAAAAGGACTGTCGCAAGAACATGAGCACAGAGATTGTGGCCGTGTGGTCATGATATTGTTTCAACTTCCTGTTACAGTGTTTCACGTTACTGCTTGTTCTCTTTTTGCCTTACCTTCCCATTACAGTTATATCATTTAATCATTAGTAAGTACAGCCACTTACTCTTTTAAATAATTCTTTATTTGAAAAATTGCAAACATATTTTCCTTGCTTCAGTTTTTTAAGAAACTGTAAGCTGTTTTCTTCTAGTTTAAGGTTTTAAACGTAGTTTAGGTTTCAGGTTCCTAAAGAACTGTTTGCGTCACAGATCAGTGCAAAAACGTGGCCAACCACCAACAATGTCTCTGTCAAGGAAAAACAGTGGGTCATGGTTCTTCTTTTCTCATAATTTTACTATCAGCAGAAGACGTTGCAGACACAACAGCTTCTGTAAATACAAACACACTTTTGACAGGCTTTTGTTTTAAGATAACAACACTTCCTCTCAATTGCCCTAACCCACTCGGACCTCTACCTCAAGAATTTAATGCCACATGTTTCTCAGCAGCGCAAAGTTTGCTTTTATAAAATGCATCTCCTGCTTTTATTGTGAAAATTGTCATTTCATATTATTCAGGAAGCAGGCTGGAAAAGACGGCATCAGCCAATAAAAGGACAGGAAATATTGATATAATGTTTCATTCGTTTTTATTTAAAGACAATAAATTAACATGTAGATACATTTTTAGTCTGTGCAAAAGACTTGAGCCACCCCTCATGTTTAAAATAATTTTCCCAAGGAGCCAGACTTTTAATTGTAATTTTTAAGGTGGTCTTGAGAAATAGTTCTCCAGGTTTTCTGAAGGTCTTTCATTGGCTGCTTTTTCACTCATTTTCAGTGCAGTCCCTGTATCTGTCAGATAGGGTATCTGACAGAAAACCATGCTCGACGATGGTGATCATGATAATATGACAACAACAGTGACCTATAAATCATCCAACCATCATCCAAAGAAGAGCTTGGAAATCAAGAAGCCTGGAGAACTATTCCTGAAGACTACTTGAAGAAATAATAAGAAAGTTTGACTGAGAGATTGCAGACTGACGAATGCTGACGAATAAAGATGATCACACCAAATATTGACTTTATACAGATTCTGTTTTTACCTTATATGCTGTATTTCTATGTATGTTTGCATGTCTTAATAAACATATTAATGCAAACAAAAAGGGGTGGCTCAAGACTCCTGCACAGCACGATATGTTAATGATAAAGAACACGGGGAAAAACTGTTTCATGACTTATTTGCAAACACAATGCTGCTCTTTCTGCAACAGAACAGTAAGTGGTTTGTGTCCAGCCACAGACACATCATCCCGTCTCATAGAGTTGTGCTCAACTCTAAAACTTGCTTTATCCAAGGATATTTTTACATATTAAAAGAGTGTTGTGGAATGCACATGGTATATACCCGGACACACAGGAAAACTGTCTTTAAATGCACCATCTGCCATAATTGTTGTCTTGTTTTAATTATCTCTATTTAATTACAGCACAAGTCTTTGAGTGTCATTGTCACCATCGGGCTGTCGTTGTCTACAACAGCAAAAAGCTAAAAAGAGCATCGCTAACAGGATGTAGGTCACAACGGTGAAACAAAACGCGAACAGGTAGAGCATCGTGTTGCAGTAGACATCAGGCTGTGTCATATTCTTGTTGTAGTTGGGTTCATAAATAGAGTAGATGACTATATTACCTGGAAGAATACAAAAAATGATCTCAAATTAGAATGAGAGTGATGGACCTGCACGGCTTCTACATAAATGCAGAACTGGCTTCAAGATTTTTTCAAAATGCTGCTGTAATTAGTTTATTTTAAAAATGTAAAAAAAAAAATCAAAAACTTCAAGGAACAAAAGGAAAAATTTATTTCTGTTAAATTCAATTCAGTTTTATTAGCAAAAAATTACAACAGCACAACATTGTGTATTCTCCTTATATATCCAAAAGGAGCTAGTACTGTGTGACGTATATGATCAGTTTAATTTACAAATAAATCGACTGATTTACTGATAAGACCTGTTCCCTTTGTTATTTCATGACAAATGAAGCAGACATAAAATTGTTATATTGTTTACGTTTTGTTATAGCTGTTCACTGTAATTTTACATTTGTGACCTTGTTATTTAAAAGGTCATGTTTTTGTCTCCCTGTACTCACAAGGAAAATGTCCAGGTCTTGTAGTGAAATTCTCGATTTTTTCAAACTAATCATCTTATTATTTACTTTTCCTGCTCTGTTTACTTTGGTGTTAGAAAAATTTGAAGTTTACCCGCAAGTAACCAGCCACACAGGAAGATGATGGTCATGGACCAACAGAAAGTGTTGCACCAGTTGTGCCATAAGCTCAGTGCCAGGAAGACCGGTATGATCCCATACAGGGACATGTAGAAAGGGATAAAAGTCTGTCTGGGACAGTTATAGAGTCCTGAACCTATGGGGCACAAAAATAAATCAAACTAAAACACAACGTCTGAAATATTGTTTAATTTTTTTCCATTATTTTTGTGACACGATGCATGGTCAGTCATCCAGGTAAAAAAAATCCCAAAAGGTTGATTCTGTTTATGGACGTAGTGTTTTCAGTGGGAGAAATGTTTCCTCACTCATCCAAGTGACTTCTTCATTCTCAGCTGACTGCAGGTTTCCCCAACCTTAAAGTACAGGGTGGGCCATTTATATGGATACACCGTAATAACATGGGAATGGTTGGTGATATTAAAGTCCTGTTTGTGGCACATTAGTATATGTGAGGGGGCAAACTCATCAAGATGGGTGGTGACCATGGTGGCCATTTAGAAGTCGGCCATCTTGGATACAACTTTTGTTTTTTCAATAGGAAGAGGGCCATGTGACACATCAAACTTATTGGTAATGTCACAAGAAAAACAACGGTGTGCTTGGTTTCAATGTAACTTTATTCTTTCATGACTTATTTACAAGTTTCTCTTTGTTCACAGACATTGACA